TTTTTTTTTTTTTTTTTTGTTGTTGTTGTTGTGTGTCTGTGTGTGTGTGTGTTGTCCTATTCGCTGTACACTAAAAAAAGCATGACGGTGCCAGACTCTTTTGTGCGTGTGTGTGTTGTCATATTCGCTATACACTCAAAAAAAGCATGACGGTACCGAACAGACTGTTTTGTCGGACTTTCACGGACCCATCAGGAGGTTGAACCCCAACAGTCTGCCCAGGATTCATTTGACTGATGGATAAGGACTCACCACATCGCCCAGAGTTAGCGACACCCCTGAAAGAAAAAAACGGTCGACTTTACTCACCCCAACCAACCTCGCAATCCTAGCAGACTGCCGGTCCTTGACAAGAGCAGTGGTAAGTGTGAGAAACTAATCTGACACAGTCCACTCTACACACCCACTCAGCCATGGACACACAATGGCATGTGTGTGTGTGTGTGTGTGGGTGGGTGGTTGGGTGGGTGGGTGTGTGTGTGTAACTTGTTGAGGTCCAGCTCTGCTTGTGTTGGAGATTTAATTATTATTATTATTATTATTATTTTAGGGAAAATTGTTGAAATGCCCCTGAAAGGTGGGTACTTGGTCAGATATCCGTAAAACACAGGGATATGGCGAAGTGCCCCTATCACAGTCCCATGGAACTCTGTGAAATACCCCACTCACCCCAAGGTTCGCCGAACCAACTGCCAGCGCACTGTTTGTTTTTTCGGTTATGACTGGGTGGGGCCTTCAGCCGTTGTGGTCCGGTATCCCGAAGCGCGCAGGGCGTAGCGCGCTAACGGCTAAGGCCCGTGGCCGAAACCTGGGCCGAGAAGTACTGGTGGTGGTTTAAATGGCTTAAAACGATCAGTACTTCCTAAAGTTGTGCCTGTTAACAAGGCACAATTTTAGAAAGCGAATGGGCCACTATAGGAGCGCAAAAATTCATCCGACTAGAAACGTTTCTACTCTTTTTTTCCCCCCTCGGCCAACAGCTGGGCCAAGTACTGATGATTTAATTGAATTGGATGCCATGCACTTCATATGTCTAGTCAATGGCTGCCTGAGGTGGTTCGCCGATGTCGAACAGACGATGATGAAGGTCTTCCCTATACTTCTTCTTCTTTTTTTTTTTTTTTTTGTGAAATAGCCCTTGTTTAAGCCCTCTATCCTGGCAGCCACAGTAGATGGAGGTCAATCGCTTCTCGTAGATGGGAAAGGAAGGTGATTGTAATCGTCGCCAGAAACCCTTAAAAGAGGTGCGAGGGAGAAACCTATAGCTGTTGCAGTTGGAGGATCTGAAACGAGGTTCAAATTCCTTCTTCTTTTTTTTTTTTTTTTTTTTCCTAAAGCAAGGTTCCAATTCCTACTAAAGGGGTGCCATGAAGTAGAAGCATATCGGGATATGGTGGTCGTCGTATACTTATGAGAATGTGGTGAAGGGGTGTAATGACAAAAAAACGAGAGAATCAATTTCGCAAATTATGAAGTCCGTCGCTGTTTTACTGAAACAGACCGTTCTGAAGTTAATTGGTGATAAATAGAGTGAAACAAACATGAAAGAAAAAAGGTAGGTAATATTTCTTTGGTAATGGCGAGGGAATTGATAGGCTACCAGCCAGGCTGCCCGGGTCACCCTATTTTCCAGCACAGGCCAGCCGTGCAAGGACCAGGAAAGGCCCTCGCAAAACCAAAAATAGAAAAAAAAAAAAAAAAACTGAACAACTTTTGCCTCAGGGTCACATCAAAATT